CGGAAGAGAAGACTTACTGTGATTTTAAATTTTCAAAGTAACAGCTTGAGACAGCCTTGGACATTTTCTGTAATACAGCCACTCGCCATTATCTCTTAGCACTGTTAAAACCATCATTCCAAGAATAAGAGTATCTAGATCTCTATTGCTTTCTAAATCAATAGTAAACTGATTATTCAACAGAAATCACTAGCTGCTGTAAAACTTCCATGAAATTACAAGCTGATAGTTAGCATGCACCTGCAGAGCACAAAACCTGCTTTTCCTTCATCATAGCAGTTTTATTATGCACATTCTATCTAGCACAAGATTTTACACCTAACTGAACACACAAAGCTCTGGTACCTAACACTGAGAATTACAGAAAAAAAACCACCAAAACCCCAAAGCAAAACACAAAACCAAACACATCAGACTGACACAACATTCTTACTTTTAGCAGTTCAAAATAATGAAGACAGTGGTAAACAGGGGCAAGGAGCAGCCGGGGTAGAACATACTGAACAGCTTCTTTAAAGCCTTCACCTATTGACTAGAAACAAAATAAGTTTCAGTCTTAAAACAACAAATGCATTCAAGCAACAATACAATGCAACTAAAATCCTAATATTAATGATATGTCTTACTTAAAGGCAAGTTACCTGTAAATAAAATGCTGCTCCTGGCTTTGATAATTGACTTAGGAAATGATCATGAAATCCAGGTCGCAAAATATCTTGTGCATATGATTCATACGGATCAAATGCTAGTTCCTAAGAAGAGATATAGGATAATTTCACAATCATAGCATCATAAAATGATTTGGGTTGGAAGAACATTAAAGATCATCTGTTGCCAAGCCTCTGCCATCAGCAGGGACACCATCGGTTTACAAAACTGATTAAAAACCTAACCTTCACATTTCTTAAAGAAAATAGATGTCAAGATAGGAGAGACTTTTCTGCATACTTTTTCCAAAACACCTATAGAGCATAAACAATACATCTATGCACACAAACTCTTGGAGTAATTCAGTCTAAAGAAATCTCTGGAAGTCAACTGGTGCAATTCCCTGTTCAAAGCAGGGCGCACCTGAGGGCCAAACATACCATTCAGCATCAAAGCTAGCTGAGGGTCTCATCCAGTTGAATTCTGACTAACTCCAAGAACAGAGGCATCAAAACCTCCCTGGGCAGCCTATTCCAATATGCAGTTGCTCTCATTGCAGATCTTTTCCCCCCAGTATCTAATCAGGACTAATTTTTTTACCATTCGCATGCTCTCTCTCATTTCACAGTTCTTAGCTGTGAACCCCCAGTAAGAGCCTGTCCCTGTTGTCCTTACACCTTCCGTTCAGGTAACTGAAGGCAGCAGTAAGACCTCCTTTTTCAGACCTCTCAAGAATGAATAAACCCAGAAATCTCAACCCCTTAGTGCATCATGGGCCTCAACTCCTTAATCATCATGGCAACCTTCCTATATAAGCATATCTTGCATCAGAAACCCCAAAACTGGACATGGTATACCATATGTGGTCTCAAGTGCTATACAGAAATGACCCCTCCACCTGCCAACTACACATTCCCTAATAAAACCAAGTAGGTAGTTAGCCTTCACAGCCCATTCCTGAGGATCTCCAAGCCCTGCCAAGCAGTATCGCTCCTCAGCCAGGCAGCTGAAATGTTGCATGGGGGTTTTTTGGTCCCAGGTGCAGAATTTCATGTTTGCCTTTACTCAGTGCTGTGAGGTTTCCATAGGTCCATTTCTCCAGCTTGTCAGGTCCCCCAAGAAGTAGCCCTGTCCTCGTGTCCCCTCACAATTTGGCATCACCTATGAACTTGATGAGGCAGACCTTCTTCCACAACACTAATACTGACACGGAACAGTATCAAACCTGAGGAATGCCACTAACCATTGGCCTCCATGTGGCCTTTGTACTGCTGATAACAGTCCTTCCAAAGCCTGACAGTTCAGTCAATTTCCCACTTGCTCTATGATTCAACTAGCTAGGCTGCATCTCACCAAGCTGACTATAAGGATACAATGACAGACTCTGCTGATGGCCTTGCTTAAGTTCAGGTGAGAGATAATATCAGTTCTTCCCTTTGTCCACGGAGTCAGACATCTCTTTGAAAGCAGTCAAGTTTGTCAGGTACAGTTTGTGCTTTGGAAATGTATGCCAACCACCTTCTAGTCCTTCACATGGCTGGATGTGAATTTCAAAAAGATTTGCTAATCTTCTCATGGACTGAGTCAAGGCTTTCCAGCAACCTCCGCATCAGTGTTTTGGAGATTGGGCATAACACTTTACCTCTGAAACTCACCACTAAATTTAAAGAATTCTAGACAGTGGCCTTGCATTTACACTAGGCAGCTGCCTCAGCATCCTGTTCTGCCCTGCAGACTTGCATATATCTGCCTTAGATCAACAGCCCCTAACAATGTTTGACTTTCACCTCTCTCTGACAATCTTGGGCAGCAGGCCTAACTAGGAAACCTAGAAGCACATCTTGCAAACAAACTAGACCTTAGTAAAACAGTCCATTCCATGTCCTCCAGCACAAGGACTCTCATCCTATAAGCAATATACCTGCATTTTCTCTTATCTTCTTTTTCATGCTCTCTTGCCTATACAAACCCTTCTTGCTTTGCTTCACATTTCCCACCAAGTTTAACTTCTGCTGAGCTGCAACCCTCTTAACACCATTTCCACCTGTCTAGACACCTGCTTCTACATTCTTTACGGGAAGCCTGTGCTGCTTCTTAAACCACAGAATTATTTAGGTTGGAATCAACACCTGTAAGATAATCAAGTCCAACCCTAAACCTAACACTGCCAAGTTCACCACTAAATCTTGTCCCCAAGCACCACATCTACACATCCTTTAAATTCCTCCAGGGACGGTAAGCCAACCACTTCCCTGGGAAGCTTGTTCCAGTGCTTGATAACCCTTTCAGTGAAGAAATTTTTCCTAATACCCAATCTAAACCTCTGCAGGCACAATTTGACAGCATTTCCTCTTGTCCTATCACTTGCTACTTGGGAGAAGAGACAAACACCCACCATTTTACAACGTCATTTCACATCTCTGCAGAGAGTGATAGGGTGCCTCCTCAGTCTCTTTTCCTCCAAGCTAAACTCCCCCAGCTCCCTCAGCTGCTTCTCACAGGACCTGTTTTCTAGACACTTCACCAGCTGTGTTCCTCTTCTTTGGACACACTCCAGCACCTCAGTATCTTTCTTGTAGCGAGGGGCCCAAATTTGGTTTGAACAAGAAACTGTGTCTGTCCCTGCCTCCTACTAGACACATCCGCTTTCTTAGAGAATGGCAATGCATATTCTGTGTGCTCTGAACACAGTCTCTCTCCCAGGAGAACCAGGGCCCGTTATAAAGAGATGACTCCTACTTGTTTAGAGAAGGTTTGAGCCACTTGTCAATTGGGCAGACTCTGCAGGAGAAGCTTGACCACAACATGCCCTTTGGTAGCCTCCTCTGATCCTGATCCTTAAGTATTCAACCAGCTCATCATTTATGCCACAACAGAGCTCTGTGTATTGGAACTGATACTTGGTTAACCCTCCTGGCCTTATCTCCCCTGCTTGTCCTTCCTGAGCACCTGTATTCATCCACACAGCCCTCTATCATGAAGCCCTTCCCACTGTGCCACTAATTACAATCACATGACAGCTATGCAACTGTGCACAGACTTCTAGATCCTCTTGTATGCACATGAGCACACATACTCTGGGGAAAGAGACACTTTGGCTGAGCCTCTGGGCATCCCACCTTCTCAGGAGGAAGGTGCAAGAACCTTTGTTGCTATGCTTTGTGTTATGCAGTCCCTTTCTCAGCTCTTCAACCTGCAATCTTCGGCCTCTATCCACTAATGGACAGCCTTCAAAAGCCCTCCTCACCAGCTCAGAAAGCCTGTTGGCAAAGCAGCCCTTGGCTCCACTTGGTCTTTCCACAGTAATTCTGATCTACAGACAATTTACAGGATATTTCCATTTCTGTCAAAGTCTACTTTCAGGTTTTTTGCTGATTTTTTTTCTACCTGTGCTCTCTAAAGTTTAAACAGCCACGATAAAAGTTGAAGTTTAGAGACTAAAACGGTAACGGCACTCTCAAAAATGGACAGTCCCTTCATCACGGTGGGGTTGGGAGATCTCAAACAAAATGAAGGCAGCTAGAACAGAGACACACTTCACATCAAAGTGCAAGTTTTAAAATACATATGAATAGTAAAAAACCTCAACCAAACCCAAGCATTTTCTTACCTCTGCCATATCTTCAAAACAGCTGCCTACTAGTGGGTGAGGACTACCTTCATCTGTCATTTCAACAGTGTCTTCTATATGACCCAGTAACTTCACACTAAGTTCATGAATGTCTGATATACGACTAAATATATTTTCCACATCCTGCAAAACACAACAGAACCAGACAAAAATCAAATGTGCAAAGCTACTCTCACGATATGAAAGTCAAGAACTTCCTTAAACAGAACAAGATTTTACTATTATTTTGATCATATACCTTTGCTATAATTTCTATAAGATCATAAAATATTTTTAAAGTAATGAAT